TAAATCAGTAGAGCTCAATTCGAATCAAGGGGGCCAGATTCCTAGCGGGTGCAAATCTCCGTGGCTCCGTTTGAGTCACTGGCCCAGATCCCCAGCTAGGGTAAATGAGCAGAGATCTATTGATGCCAGTGGAGTAAGGCAGGTTTATATCAGCTGTGGTGGTCTCACTCTCTAACACCGCTGCATTTCAATATATGAGATGCAAAGGGTTCTGGGAATTAACCTGGACTGGAGGAGAAATATTGTGTCTGTGATTAGGGGGAAGACATCAAGGGGGTCGGCCTGATCTCACAGACACGTAGGGCTGCAGACCCTCAACCTGAGAACTGCATGGTCAGGGGAGTTGCAGGGCATTTAAAGAGGGAATTTAATTGTTCAATTTGCATCTCCGGGGAGATAAAATCCCAGAACAGGGTGTTGGGAGACTTGGATTCCTTTCCTAGCTAGGCAAGCAATCCACCCTGTGCAGCGAGGGAGAAGTGAAGAAGGAAATAACTTCTGCTTTCTTCCTCCCTGTCCCTCTCTCCCCCATGAAGTTGCGGGGCACCTTTAGTCTGAGTTTTAAAAATTTCTGTCCACCAGCAGACCCCAAATGTCTCATCCTGTGCATCCAAAAATAGCAAAATCCCAAATCGCTACTGAAAATGTACGTATCTGACCCCCACCACTATAGGATCTGAACAGCTCACACCCTTTAATGCGTGTAGTCTCACAAATCTCCTGCCTGGCAGGAGTATTATTATCCCCAATTTGTAGCTGGAAACTGAGGCACGGGCAGACTAAATGACCTGATGTTGGTTACAGAGGAATCCGAAGCAGAGCAAAGAATTGAACCCGAGTTTCTGTTTAATGCACTAACCCCTGGACAATCCTTCCTCTCTAGGGAAGGGAAGTTCGGTGAGGTCTGTCTGGGTCTTTCTTGATTGGAAAAGGCAAGAAAAGGCATTTGCCAGGGGAAGAAATGTTTATTTTAATCACATATAAAGCTGGCAGGAATCTGTGTTTATTTTTTACTGTAAGGACCTGATCCAGTGCCCTGTGAAGCGAGTAGAAGAAGAGCCGTTTCATTGAGCGGGCATTGGCACAGTTCCCGAATCACAGCTGAAATGTGTGTAAACACGTCTTCCCCCTAAGGGGAGAGCTGAGCTGTGTGGAGCTTTCCCTGCACTGCTCGAGAGGAATCAGAGCCAGTGAATGGTTGTCAGGCAACATTGGTTTTTGTATTAACCAGGCACGGACGCCAATCATTGTGTCTGTCTCGCACAGTAATACAGGCCCGTGGTTTCTGCTTTCAGGTCAGACATTTGCAAATTTAGCAGGCTGTTGGAATTGTCTCTGGAGATGGTGAATCGCCCTTTGATGGCCTGGGAATAACCTATATATGTTCCACTGGGGCCACTAATATAGGCCACCCAGTCCAGTCCTTTCCCTGGAGCCTGACGGATCCAGTGCATATTATAGTCAGCAAAGGTGAACCCGGAGGTTTTGCAGGAGAGGCGGAGGGAGTCTCTGGGCTTTTTCACACCCCCTCCGGACTCCACGAGCTGGACATCAGACCGCACCCCTGAAAATACAGAAAGGATAAAATCACTGCGGATGCAATAGCCCCCGGATCTCCAGTTCTTTAAGGGGCTGAAAAGTCACCTTGGCAAAGTGCTGCAGTGAGAAACAGGTTTAGCCAAAGCATCCCAATGATCCTGCGCGGAGTTCTCGGTGGGGAAGAGCAGGTGGTGACGGCACAGAGAGATCTGGGTATTATTCTGGCTCACAAAACTCCTCAGCGATATCACTGGCTTTAAGGGGGAAATTTAATCACATCATTTGCATAGGCTCTTCTTATAAGGGCCTGGCAGAAAGTCAGTGGGCGTCTTTCCCCTGAATTCAGCCACTTGCGCCAATGTCATAAGTGTCCAATTGACTTTTCCAGGCGTTCTGCTAGGGCGGGTGCAAACCATTGACTTCAACAGGCCTTAACAGAGTAATTTCATAGCTTCCTGTTCCACAGCAGTTATGGCCAGAAGGGACCATTAGGTCATCTACACTGATCCCCGTATATCACAGGCAACTACATGTTCCTCTCCACCGAAATCTTTAGTAAAAGGTGAAAGATGTATACGATCTGAACCCTTTACCTCTGTATTGAGCCAAATAACTTGTGTTTAGCTAGCTAGCTAGGTAGGTAGATAGATAG